CTCATCAGGGTGCAAGATAGACTAGTTATTTCTATTTGATTGTCTCTTTTCAAGCCCTGTGAAAACAGATCAAAACTATAAAAAAAAAAAAAGGCGAAAAGGTGCAAACCTGTTTGTTCATCATTTATTAGGGCTTTGGCATGCACTGCTAACTTTTTCCATTGCCCTGATCCTGAAAAACACTGGGCAGGAACATGGTGGGGACACCACCACTTCTACTTGCTCAGCCACATCCTTGACACTATGTGTAAGTAGGAATTTGTGGTTCTTGTAACTCTCCAGCCTGATTGCTTCTCTCTGCTCTCTGGCTTAGCTGGCCAACAAATATGTTCTCCTCTGTTGTATTGCAGACTGAGAGGTAGCGAACCCTACCCCAATGTGATAGGCAGAGGTGGTATTTTGTCAGATTTCACAGAAGCCAGCAAGACCCACAGTCTGTGCTTGAGCTGTTTCAGAAATAAACCTGCAACACCAAACATTGACTTCTCCCTACTAGTATTCTGCACATCTCTGCTCTTTTCCTCGGTCTCATGTTTTGTCTTCTGTCTTCAAGAAACTGGTCTTGAATAAGAACCTACAACCATTTGATTATTTTTTTTTTCTCCTCCAAAACCAACCAGACTTCCAATAAAGCTCTTTACAGTCAAAGGGAGAAGAAATACTACTGTTCTTACAAAAACCCTATGGCTCTCTGTGCACACACAGCCCCCACAGGTTACTACAGCATCTCAATGTCCTACCAATTAATCCTTCAGATTTGGCTTGTGAATAAAGCAAGGCAGAAAAGCAAGCTCATATTGGCAGAAATAAAATAAATAATACCAGTAATTGTGACATTTCTTGTGTATGAACCGAAGAAAGTAATCAACAGGTTGGTGGAGCCATGGTGATCAGTTTACAAAGGTGACAAATAAGGATTGATGTCTCTGCTACAAGGAAGCAGCTTCTTATTGCTAAGTAATTGAAAGACATTTATCACACAGAAACACCCCCACATCCAACTGAGCTCAGTGCAAATTGAGAATTATATGTGGCTGCATTAAAGCATGGGCAAATAGACATATTGTCAGTCTTTGCAGATAGATGAAAATGTCAGTCTTGGGTCTCATTTACAACAGACGATTCTGGCTCTTCCTTCCCAGTGAAATTAACAGATAATATTTCTTTAATGCCATTAAATGCCCACTTGACTTCTTGTACTCTAAGTGGTAAATTCTTCAGTGGATGAGGGCTTGGATAAAGACAATCACCAAGGAGAAAAAACTGAGAAAGAAAGCCTGTTTCCCAGCAAGAACCACTGGCAGGATCTTGGAACAATATCATTAAATTCATAAACAGAGTCAAATACTGATACTTACCCAAGAAGCATTTATATTTAAGATTCATTTGAAACAAGAATCCAATGCGGTATTTACCTGACCACAGCCAGAGTGCCTACTTCTATAATGCCAGCTTTTCTGCCGTGATTACATTTTTCTGAGTATTTTGTTTGGTTTGGTTTTTTGTGGGGTTTTTTAATTTTTTTTTTGTTTTGTTTTTTTGGGTGTGTTTTTTTGCTTGTTTGTTTTGGTTTTTTTTGGGGGGGTGTTTGTTTGTTTTTTGGGGGTTTTGTTTGTTTTGTTTTGTTTTGCTTTGCTTTTTTAACTCAGCTTCAGGAAACCCTCTTTGTTTGAAGATCCAAAAGTCCTTTAGAGATCTCAGGTAAAAATTAATCTTCATTCAGCTCAGCCACAGCCATGCCAGGTTCAGTTATTACCTCTGCCACCCGGCTAGGAAGAATTGCACTAAATTGCATTATTCTTTGACCTTTGAAGAGTTAACTGACTCAGTGCATGACTGTTATCAAATAACAAGTCAGGATTTTATTTTTGTAGGAACAAATCTCTTCCTTCCAAGTAAAGCAGGTAAGAATCAAAGAACTGACATATGGCATCGTAGCTACCATGAGCAATACCAAGAACATTTACACCTATATATACATATTTAGGTATTATTTCTCCGTTGAATAGCATAAAAAAATGTGTTAAATCTCAGGTGACTGCAGAACATTCTACATCATCATCTCTGTGCTGTATTTCCTATTGTAGTCAAAACTAAGTGAACCATTAAAAGTGATCCAATTCACTGAACCAAAAAACAAAAACCTAAAATTAGAAAAGGATGCCTAGGGCAAAATGATTTTTTTTTCTTTCACTTTTGGTCTCTGCTCTTTGTGAATAGAGAGTTGATTTTCTAATTCTTCCCCAAGATTATACTCCTAAATTCTGGATTTCTTACGACTTTTAGCAATGTAAATGGGTGGGAAAAGGCATTTGTTTATTTTTATGACTGCCAGTCTCTCTGGATTAGAGATGGGTAAATCAAATTAATCCTTTGGTCAGAGAAAACTGTCTTATCAATAATAAATCTAACATTAGACTAAAAAAACTTAGAATGGGATGGTTCATTACATTACTCAGTATCTCCATATGCTTCTTTCTTGACTATTACTTGATCAGTTACTATTCCTGAGCCACTTGTCATTCTTAATGATTCTTCTGGCTCTGGATTCTGAATTGCTTCTTTCATCTAACCAAACAGTAAGGAGAAAAAATGTTTTATTTGTGGATAATTTAAGCAATATGTAACTAACAGTAATGGCACAATAAATACAACTTCACATACAGTCCATCAAATTATTCTATCTTTGGGGGAAAAAAAAGTTTTAAAATGAAAAATAAAAACATTCATAAAAACAGATCCCAAAGCTGACATCAAAGAAAACACAGGCGCTGGCAGGAAAACATGGTCGAATTCCAATTGTAAGTGTGAGTGAGTCACATTTCATGTATAGCAAAGCACTTAAGAAAATGCAGAATTGAAAGAGGATGTACAGTGGGAATAATAGAATATGACAAAGGTGAAAATGTACGTAGAAAGAAATTGATGGTCTGAATATTAATAAACAGAAAGAAAGAAAATGGGATAAAGAGGTAGGTTAAAGGAAAGGAAATGGAATTCAAATGAAGGGGACAGAACAGCAGCATTTAACAAGACTCATACAAAGATTTATTTTTTTAATTTAACTGAATCAGTTTCCATATTCTAAAGGGATCAGAGCTGCCATATTAAAGTAAATGTACCTATCACATATCCAAATTAGCTCGAGCCTGTAGGCTCAGGACCTGGATCAATGCTGCAGGGGGTGAAGCGCAGGTTGCAGGCCCAGACCTCTGTTTTGTGGAAGGTCACCTCTCTTGGGACAGTGTAGAAAGCCAAGTGATTCATACTTTCCCCCGGACTCTTCCAACCAAGCACCTGCCTGACCCACTCTGTGGGTCCCACTAACCACCTACAGACCATCACTCTGCACCACTTCTTTTGAAGAAAACACCTGGGTCTGGGGGCTCCTGGGTGCACCAGGCTTTGTAGTAGAAGCAGACCTGAACAGCCACTTGGAAGCTACTGGCACAAACCTACTTCCCTGATTTTCCTGTTCCCATTCTTGGAAATGTAATGATCCTTTTGTTCTCTTTTCCAAAGTCAGGTAGTACTTCATAATCAAGATCTCCATGTCCTTTCTAAACAGAGATATCTGACCAATTCACATTGTTAACTGAATTATGTTTTCAATCCCTTTGTGGAAGACCAGCCCAAAAACAACAAAGCAGAAAAACTCAGCATAAGAACACCCCATTGTAGGCTCCCTTTAGAGTTCATGTGGAACCACCAGGAACACCTGCAAGGACTCACGAGACTACTCAAGCACAGAAGAGACAGTCACCTTTCATGCTCATTTTCAGCTGCAGATTTTGATTATTTGTAATACCTTGATGATGGGCTGCTGCACAACTGTCTCCTTGGCAATTCAAGAGAAAAAAAGAAAATCATGTTCATTTATAGTAAAAATTAGGCTTCCCAAATTCTGAGCCTTTGCTTCCAAGAAGTCTTTTACTAAGGTTTCGTTTGCAGCTCTGGTGTTTTTCACATAATTTCATTTTCACCTGAGCTGTAAATCAAAGACCTTTCTGAATCCTACTGTAATGTTAAATTGTCTCCAGGACTTTTTCACTAAGAGCTTTGTTCTAAACAGTGTCATCACACAACCAGGCTGAGTGAAGTCACTTTCAGTCACAATAGTTAGGAATCTAGTGCAAATATATAATAAAAGCAATAACTAATAACACCATCGCTTCTCACTGACAGATGTTTGTGCAGAAGTCTTTTAGCCATGCAGCCTTGTGTTTGGGGCACACCTATATTCCCTTCTCAGCTTAACATTGAGCTTTCACATAACAGAAGAATCCTTTTCTGAGGGTTATTTGATTGCTTAGCCTAAAGGCCAATGTTTACTCCTCCTATAAACTGCTCTTTTCTCCTTATCCACTTTCTCAAGCCACGGTTACTATATTTGTTCTGTGCTGTCTGCAGCTGTAGTTAAATCATCCAGTGCCTCTCCAAGGAGCCACTATGCACTAGCAGTGCCCACAACACTCTTGGTACCAGTGACAGAAGCAGTCTAGAGTGCAGATGGAGAGATATTTGAAGGGTCATCCAGGCACCTCTCAGAAAGGCTGCTTGAGGGCCCTGAAGGTTCAAAGCACTGCAGCACAAGTAAAGGGAATGGTTTTCATGTCAGTCTGATACCACGTGCTCAAGACTTGTTGAAGTGTGTTGCCCCATGGCAAGCAAAAGCTTGCTGGCAGAATGACTTCATGACACTGACAGATGAATGTTCACCTTACAAAAAGGCTGGAGAAAACCTGGAGGGAGCTAACAATCCTAGAGGGAGTTACTGAGGATATCACCACTGCTTATTGAACATTCACAGTGAAGATTGCTCATCTATGCAGGAAGTAGGGAATAAATCACTCCTGGTTCTCTTATTTCTAGTTGCAAATGTATAAGCTTTTGCATATGAGATATTGGGTTATACCATTTCTGCAACCATGGCTTTATAATTGATTGTATTTCTTTACTTCTTTACTTGTCTTTGTGTGTATGTATATGTGTGTTCCTAGTTCATGTCACTTGTTGTGTCTGTAAAACAGTAAATAGGTGAGGTGGAACCACCTACAAGGAGCGGAGACTTCTTCACCCTCGGGGAACTGCTTGTCCTGCTCAGATGGAGAAAGTTCAAAAGCCTTGATATGGGATCTGGAGAAACTATGCTAAGGCAAATGCTTCAGAGAGTAGTTCTGGAAGCCCAGAAGGCACCAAACTGAGTTTTCTTCCACTTAAAATCATTGGGATGGCTGGAATTGAGGACACAGTAGGTGGCAGGAGGGTTGTGTATGAACTTTTGCATTCCTGCTTAGTCTTATAAAGTTTCTCTGACCTCTGTTTATTAAAAAAAAAAAAAAAAAAAAAAAAAAAAGAAAACTTTCTTGTTTTATTCATATTCTGATGAAACATGGGTAATTTTTAAGTTTAGCTAAAACTTTTAATCTCTTGAGGCATCACACTATGAGAAGAAGATAAAGGCACACCCACTTCAAAGCTCTGGCTGATACCAAGTCTTGACACAGGCACCATTTCACAAAACAAAGAAACTGGGCCTTTCAACCACTGCCCAGCCATTCACTCACGTGTCCCACACAGAGTCTGTGGGCGTTTCCTCTGATGCTCCTCTCTGTACTCCCAGGGCTTCCAAGCAAGAAGCAAAAGCAGACTTGTTCACCAAGAGCATAATTTAAAGCTGCCCTACCATGTCCTTGAAAAGGAGCAGCCATGTAGAGCCCAGGGATTGTTCCTCTTGCAAAGTCACAGGCCTGGGTGTCCCAGAGCCTGTTCTGCTTTCCCTCTGATGGCAGGGGCACCTGGCACAGGTCCTGCATGAGCCCAAATTCCCCAGGTTGGGCTCAGCACATGTCAGAGACGGGAGAGAAAGGGAACAGCTTTCCTGGCTTTCAGGCAACTCTGACATTCTCAGATGACTCGTGTAACTTAAAAGAAGCTGCAAAACTGAGTCAGCCTACGCAAGAGAAGAAAACAGCCTATATATAAATAACAACCTATATAACGTTCCCCCTGTCAGTTCCATAAGTAGCTAGAGAAGAACAAAGCTTTGAAGTGAGTCATGTTAACATCCCCCACACCCCCCAGTCCCTCTCTCTATCTCTCTCTGTTTCTAACTCTGAAAGTTCTGAGGAAGCTCAGAAAACACATTGGTCAGAATTTTAAATCATGATGATCAGGGTCAAATTATAACTCTTTCAGGAGATGTTAATGAACTGCCTAAGCCAGGAATTCTATTTGCATAATTGGGAATGAACATATATCTTTCTCAAATCATTTTGTAGGCATTTGCCTTACTGGTAAGTCTAGGGTAGTAATAGTTCACCTCCAGCTTTCTTTCAAGCACTAAATATTCTTGCAACATTGGTCTACTCCTGCTACTAGCTGAAATGTAGAAATGCACACCTACATCTTTTATAACTATGGGATCATTACAAGCTCCATTTACATTATGACTCAGCAGAATCAGCACATATTACACAAATTTGACACCTGTTAGACCAAAAGTCTGCTAGTCCTTTATAGAAGACCAGATTATGCTGCTGTATTACCCAGTATTCACGTTCAGCATAAATATATGTATCTTTTGAAAAATCCCTACCTCCTAGAACCTCTGACCCCACTATCAAGCTTCTGTAGAGAGTGACACATGGCTAGAAATACAGAGAGACATACTTCATATTATATTAACAGCTATCTTTCTCTTTGATAAGTTATTAATAGATGTAAGAAATTTCAGTTACACTTGCTCTATCATTATTTATTTGAGCTGTGGGGAAGTACTTGCCTGACTGGTGAACCCTGCTATATGTTTCCCACATGAACTGACATTCATTCACTTGTTGTTATGTTGGAGATAGAAAATCAAACAAACAAATCAAAAAATCAGAGAACTATACTATGTGAACCAGTACATGTTAGCAGAGAGTAGACTGCATCTAATGAGACTCAAAGATTCCCAAAAAGATCTCGGTATTTCTCTGCCTCTTTCTCCTGAAAGACCTTAAAGAAGAGTCTTAAGCTAATCCACCTGCTTCTCAATGAGTATGTGCAATGTAGGGAAATATTCTTACCTCCATTTTAACAATAGGGAAATTAAGGTGTACGTATAGTAAGCAAATTGCCCAGGTCTTCAAGAGGAGCCAGTGTAAGAGCTCTGAATGAAATCTTAATCTTTTGGTTATCCCATCCATGTTGTAGAGCTCAGATCATCTTTCCCATATGGCTGTGAGAAGGATCCACTTTGCTGACTGTTCCACAGAACTGCCTAAATCCACAAGAATTTTCCTGGGGAGGCTCTGCATCACCACCACACTACAAATGGAATTGTGTAAAAAACGCACATCTGTATCACTGTCAGACACATCAGGAGGAGAACGGGAGACAGACAGGGAAAAAGTGTGCAGTAATAATATCCATTCCTTCTTATCTGTTACTGTCAACTTGGTTTTGGACATAGTAAAAAGTACTGAAGAGAAATTAAAAGAGATTTCTTTTTTTTTTCGGTGTAGGTTATACTCATAGTTACGTGAGGGAAGGCAGGGGAGATGTTCCAGCATATGCAACTGCAAGAGAGACGTTCCTTAAGTTGTCAATACAATGTCTATTTTGTAAACATATTTGTCAAGTTTGCAACACTTACTCTGCCTAAAGGGTACCTTGAATCTAAAGCTATTCCAGCAACCATGACTTTGATTGACTGCACATCAGGAAGCTTAAGCATAGAAAACTCCTACACAAAACCCCTTTAAAGTATGGAAATTAAAATTTAAAGGGTGCTGCTTTAACATGCTTTGTGTGCCAGAGCAGCCACAGCCCCAGTTTCAAATGTAGGGGCAGCAAGGAGGAGGGGCAGCACATCCATTCAGTCCTACTCACACAGGACATGTAATAGGCACAAACACTGCATGAAGTGGTGTTAAGGTGGGAGGGGAGCAAAGGAACAGAGCCTACGGAGCCTCCTGTTTCTAACAAATCCACATCTGTTAGGTGCCAACTTAACTCCAGAAGAGCACAGTAAAAGCCACAAGCAGGATCTGGTTCTCCAACAAATATGCTCACCATATCCCTTTCATGCACATCCCATCAAAATCCATCATTGCCATTCAGTTTATATTAATATGCTTTTAACAGAGGAAGAAGGGGTGCACACAACATCCTCAGACAAAAGCTTGTTATCTTTAATGAATATCTTCAGAGTTGTACAGCACGTTTGGCAGCAGCCATTCCTGTGCTGGATGGTGTCCAGAGATGATCTGCTGAGCTCTTGGGGAGCTCTCTGCATTCTTATCTGAGGGTTGTTATTTTTTGAGTACTCCTCAATATATCTTCAGGAAGGCTGCTCCTGTTGGCATTGGTGTTGCAATGCAGCAGGTGCACTGGTACTGATTTTCCATTGCCAGAATAGAACCTCACAATCTCAATCCTGAGGAAAATGTCCCACTTTTACAGTGCAGGTGAATTCTCATGGCTGCATTATGTCCAATGGCCTGTAAGGTAATTTGCTGTATGTTCTTTCTTTCAGCTTGTCTCAAGCAATGTTCCCCTCTTGGCCTTAACAATCCAGTTCTCCCAGGTACTTACTGTTTTCTTTTCCAGCCAATAGCTGTACAGAGGGATAACAATTAACCGGAGGAGAGTGTTTATTTCATCTTTCCTCTCTATCCAATCCCTTTGATCACAGATGCAGAAAAGATCTAAGTGCTTAAGTCTAAACACTTTGACCTCATTCACCTGCTGCTTAACTCTAGGGATAACTTGAGTTCAGTAGGTCCTTCATTATTTAACTTCAACGTTTTCTCATGCCCAGAATCTCTCCTTCTATGTGCAAGGAGGTATCTAGCTACAGCCTAGGTCCAAACATGACTCAGGAGCTACAACGAGAATATACAAGAGTTTATTCAGAGTCCACCAAGCACACACTAATAGCCTTGGGTCTTTAAAAAATGCCTCGGTATCTGCAGGAATAGTAAAACAAAATCATGCCAATCTTTCCACTGGAAGCTTTGTGGTACTGGCACTCAACAAGGAAGAAGGAAATATACCTTCATTGCCTTCCCAAGCCTGATAGGATATCACTGCATCTCTTGTACCTCCCACAGTAGGTATAGCAGGCCACAAGCAGGGCTGGGAAGAGAAAGGGTTTTCAAGGTTGAATGGGAGCTGTTCTGCTGCACAGAAAGGAATGCAAGATTCCTGAATTTTGTTGAAAGGAAGAGAAGAAAAGGAGATATGCCTTAGACATCTCTTCTATGTCGTCAGTCACTGGCTAGAAGGAAGAAGCACTTTAGTCGACTGGTAAGTTATTTGCGCTCTGTCCAATTAATCAATAACAGTACTTTGCTTTCCAAGGAACAGTCCTCAGCTATGTAAATGATGGGGGAAGATTTCAGCTCACCGTTTGAACAGATAGGCAGCTCCAGGGTAGACTTCAACCCATCTGCTTTAGATGTTGATTGGCCATAAGCATGATTTGGCCCTCTGGAAGCATCAATTCTTGCCCATTGAAAAGAGCATTATGATAAAGGATACCTGCTCACCAAATCGATTTGAAAAACCAGGTCAGGCATTCGAAAGGGGAGGAAAGGGAGGACAGATATATAGGGGAGAAGAATCTAAACAAGTTAACTTGGGGTTCAATTCAGAAAATAAAAACGATAGGGTTCTCTAACTCATTCTGCTCTCCTTGCTGTGAACAGCTTCACAACGGGAAGAGAAGTTCCTGCGTTTTATACCGGTTTGTCTATTTATCTCCAAGGCTTAACAGAGACAAACATTATTAAAACACAGTTTGGAAGGGACTTTCAACACTGCCATTTATTTTAAATATTATTGTTTAATCACCGATTTCCCTCTGGTAATTATGCTATCTTTAGGTTTTAGAGTTTTTTAATCGGTGTTTTCCTGTGGCTTGGGTGCGATTCCTGCAGAAGCCTTGTAATAACCAAATAAGTAGGACAGCCTAATCTAATAATTTGTGCATGCATATGATGTTCAGGGGGATTATTAAAGTTATTTTCTCACTAAAATGTTATCAGCTTAGAAAGCCGAGCTGTTCCAGGCCGATGGTTTTTTATTGCAAAAATGTTTAATACTGTTGTATGCACCAGACTGCAGTTTCACATGCTAATGCCATTTATTCCATTGATTTTGACTTTTGAAAGGAACCTTGCTGGTCCCTAATTTTTGCTTAAAAATATCCAAACAACCAAACCAATTTGGCTCAAACGGCAAATATTTTCTGAAACTAAAAACTGGAGTAT